GTATACCAGGCTACACTAGGTTCGTGAAATTGTAAAAATTTTAATACCAAACTATAAGAATGTGTTCACCCTTTTGAACAAGATACCCACAAAGCTGTGTCTTCTTAAAAGCTGAACAGACACAGCTCCCACAGCACCTCCTCAGATGTCATGCGCTCCATCCCTTGACCATCCTGGTAGTCCTCTGCTGGCTCCAATATCATTCCCTGAGGGATATGCAGAGGTAACTGGTTGCTAACTCAGCTTTGTGACTCTGACGGCCACCTTTTGAGCCCTAAAGTCCAGTCAGGATTCCACCCACCTTATCATCCATTTTAGCAGTCTATATCTCACCAGTGTGGCTCTAATGACACTATGGGAGACAATGCCAAAGAGTTCCCTAAAGTCAAGGTAGACAACATCCTTTCATCCATTGAGCCAGCTATCTCATTATAGAAGTCAATCAGTTGGTCAGGCATAACTCATCCTTGGTAAATGGCATAAAAGCACGTAAAGGGTGTTAAAGGGAATAAAGGGGTAAAATTTGGCCTGGCTGTTCCCAATCGCCATCTTGTTATCCTTTTCATGCTAAGAGAAGTTCCAAAAGGATTTGCTCCATAACCTTCCCAAGGACTGAGGTCAGGCTGATTTGTCTGCAGTTCCCTGGATCCTTCTTGTCCTTCTTGATGCTGGGTGTGATGTTGCCTTTTTCTAGTCATCAAGTACCTCCCCTGATCGGCACGACTGGGAGGCTTTCCTATCTCCATCCCTGCATGCTCAGGTAATGCCTCAATAACCCCTCAGGGCATCCCATGCCTGTTTCCAATTTCTACAGAGATCTGTTTTTTTGCATTTGAGCTCTGTGCTGAGGTTCCTGTTCATCCACAGTCTCCTTCTTCCATGCTTGCTGGACTTTCTGCACATCACAACAAACTGTTCTTGTGCTCTGAGGAAGATGTCAAAGGGTCCACAAAGATCAACCATCTTCTTGTGCCCCTTTACCCTGCAGGTTAGTTAACAATTGGACCCTGCTAAGAAGATCTATGAAGATACCAAAATCTGCCCTCCTGAAGTAAGAGGTCTGCTTACTTGCTGTTCCTCCTTCTCTGAGTGTTTTGAACTTCAGCATCTCATAATCACTGTAGCCAGGGCTGCCCTCAACCATCATACCTTCAGCCAGTTTTTCCTTGTTTGTGAGTAACAGCTCCAGCAGAGTATCCCCCATTGTCAGCTCATTGATCCCCACCATTAAGAAATTGTCTTCAGCACACTTCAAAAATCTCCTGCATTGCTTGTGCTCAGACCTATTGCCTTTCTAGTGGATTTTGGATTGGCTGAAGTTCCCCGTGAGTACCAGGGCCTGCCATTTTGAAGCTTCCTTCAGCTTTCTAAAGGCTTCCTCTGCTTTCACTTCTTGACCAGACAGCATGTATTAGAGGTACCACCACACCACCTCTGCTCCTCTGTCCTCTGCTCCTGATCCCCCCACTCTGGACGAACTTGCTCTGTCCAAAAGGAACTTTCCACACACTGCTGCCACCTCTTTGCACAGAGACGGCAGCTCCTGCTCCTCACCTTCCCAGCCTGTCCTGCCTGTAGAGTCTGTGTCCATCTCCTGCAGTACTCCCATCCTGAGAGCCATTCCACACAAGGATGTGTGCAATCCCACATGAGGTCCAAGCTCAGTGGCAGCATGGAGATGTCTGATGCCAACTCATTGTTCCCCATGCTGCCTGCATTTGGGCACAGGCACATGAGATGGGCTCTAGGAGATTCTTGGAGTGCGTGGAAGATAACTTCCTGACACAGCTGGTAAGCGAGCCTACCAGGGGAAGAGTCTCGCTTGACTGTTCACAAACAGAGAAGGACTGGTGGAAGATGTGGTGGTTGGAGGCCGTGGTGGGTTTAGCAACCATGAAATAATAGAGTTCTCGATCCTTGGTGAAGTAAAGAGAGGGGCCAGCAAAACCACTAACATGGACTTCTGAAGGGTAGACTTTAGGCTGTTTAGGACGCTGACTGGGAGAGTCCCTTGGGAGACTGTCCTGAAGGGTAAGGGGGCCCAGGAAGGCTGGACATTCCTCAAGAGGGTGGTTTTAAAAGCACAGGAACAGGCTGTCCCCATCCATAGAACGAGAAAGTGGCAGAGAAGAAAACCAGACTGGCTAAACAGAGAGCTTTTCC